GGAAATGTGGTTTAAAATTTATTTCTAGTTGGAGATGCATTTCTTTGCTTTTTATATTCTGGACTAAATCGTGGCAGCTTTTTCACAAATATTTTTCGTCGAGACAAAATTATTAAAAATTTTTTATTTGAAAATAGTTTTGGGTTTATAACTGCCCGCCTTCCGAAAACAAGAAGTAACCACACACATGTATTGGAGTTATTAAAGTACTTAACGTTGCGTAAATCCCAAGGCCTTATCTACTCATGGGAACAATAGCCTCTCAACATGATGTCTAACTAAATGATATAACATTCTTAGTATACTTAGTCATCTTTTCAGGGAAAAAATTTAAAACAGATGACTACGTATATTACGAAAGAATGGCATAATATAAGCCCCGCCCACCCGCCCTATCTCAATTGTGATGATTTTTTTATGCATCGTAAATACTGAAAAATACTTATTTCTTTACAAGAAATTAAAACCATGTTTTTGAGTATTGTGTTCTTCAAAAAATACTAAGTATATTAAGAAAAAAAGAGCAAAATATAAACCCCGCCCACCCACCCCATCTCAATTGTGACGATTTTTTTTATTGTTAGAACCTTAAAACACTTTTAAAATAGTAAATTTTTGTAAGGCAATATGGATTTTGCAATTAGGATCCGCCTCTCGGGTTACGACGAATAAAAAAATCATCCGAATTGAGATAGGGTGGGTGGGCGGGGCCTATATTTTGCTTTTTGTTTTCTTAATATACATAGCCATCTTTTCACAACAAGAAACTTAAAAATAGGTAAAATGGAAAATTTTTGCAAGGAAATGTGGTTTAAAATTTATTTCTAGTTGGAGATGCATTTCTTTGCTTTTTATATTCTGGGCTAAATCGTGGCAGCTTTTTCACAAATATATTTCGTCGAGATAAAATGATTAAAAATTTTTGATTTGAAAATAGTTTTGGGTTTATAACTGCCCGCCTTCCACAAAACAAGAAGTAACCACACACATGTATTGGAGTTATTAAAGTACTTAACGTTGCGTAAAATAAATCCCAAGGTCTTATATAGATATACTCATGGAACAATAGCCTCAACATGATGTCTATCTAAATGATGTTTTGGAGTCGACAGTCACACCAAGGGGTAATTCGCTGTAGTACCTGCTAAGATAAAACTGATTTTGGCAAATGAGATATCCCCTAAGAAAAGAGAGATTAATTTTGAATCCGCCCACCCACCCCGTCTCAATTGAGATGATTGTTTTTATTCTTACAAACTTAAAACACGTTTAAAATAATAACGATTGTGCAATTAAATTCCGCTCGTTTGGCTACCGATGATGAAAAAAATGATCACGATTGAGATAAGGCGGGTGGGCGGGGCTTTTTTTCCGTGAAAAGATGACTAAGTATACTAAGAAAGTTAGTATACTTAGTCATCTTTTCACGGAAAAAATTTAAAACAGATAACTACGCATATTACGAAAGAATGGCAAAATATAAGCCCCGCCCACCCACCCTGTCTAAATTGTGATGATTTTTTTATGCATCGCAAATACTGAAAAATACTTATTTCTTTACAAGAAATTAAAACCATGTTTTTGAGTATTGTGTTCTTCAAAAAATACTAAGTATATTAAGAAAAAAGGGCAAAATATAAACCCCGCCCACCCACCCCATCTCAATTGTGATGATTTTTTTTATTGTTAGAACCTTAAAACACTTTTAAAATAGTAAATTTTTGTAAGGCAATATGGATTTTGCAATTAGGATCCGCCTCTCGGGTTACGACGAATAAAAAAAATCATCCGAATTGAGATAGGGTGGGTGGGCGGGGCCTATATTTTGCTTTTTGTTTTCTTAATATACATAGCCATCTTTTCACAACAAGAAACTTAAAAATAGGTAAAATTGAAAATTTTTGCAAGGAAATGTGGTTTAAAATTTATTTCTAGTTGGAGATGCATTTCTTTGCTTTTTATATTCTGGACTAAATCGTGGCAGCTTTTTCACAAATATTTTTCGTCGAGACAAAATTATTAAAAATTTTTTATTTGAAAATAGTTTTGGGTTTATAACTGCCCGCCTTCCGCAAAACAAGAAGTAACCACACACATGTATTGGAGTTATTAAAGTACTTAACGTTGCGTAAATCCCAAGGCCTTATCTACTCATGGGAACAATAGCCTCTCAACATGATGTCTAACTAAATGATATAACATTCTTAGTATACTTAGTCATCTTTTCAGGGAAAAAATTTAAAACAGATGACTACGTATATTACGAAAGAATGGCATAATATAAGCCCCGCCCACCCGCCCTATCTCAATTGTGATGATTTTTTTATGCATCGTAAATACTGAAAAATACTTATTTCTTTACAAGAAATTAAAACCATGTTTTTGAGTATTGTGTTCTTCAAAAAATACTAAGTATATTAAGAAAAAAAGAGCAAAATATAAACCCCGCCCACCCACCCCATCTCAATTGTGACGATTTTTTTTATTGTTAGAACCTTAAAACACTTTTAAAATAGTAAATTTTTGTAAGGCAATATGGATTTTGCAATTAGGATCCGCCTCTCGGGTTACGACGAATAAAAAAATCATCCGAATTGAGATAGGGTGGGTGGGCGGGGCCTATATTTTGCTTTTTGTTTTCTTAATATACATAGCCATCTTTTCACAACAAGAAACTTAAAAATAGGTAAAATTGAAAATTTTTGCAAGGAAATGTGGTTTAAAATTTATTTCTAGTTGGAGATGCATTTCTTTGCTTTTTATATTCTGGACTAAATCGTGGCAGCTTTTTCACAAATATTTTTCGTCGAGATAAAATTATTAAAAATTTTTTATTTGAAAATAGTTTTGGGTTTATAACTGCCCGCCTTCCGCAAAACAAGAAGTAACCACACACATGTATTGGAGTTATTAAAGTACTTAACGTTGCGTAAATCCCAAGGCCTTATCTACTCATGGGAACAATAGCCTCTCAACATGATGTCTAACTAAATGATATAACTTTCTTAGTATACTTAGTCATCTTTTCAGGGAAAAAATTTAAAACAGATGACTACGTATATTACGAAAGAATGGAATAATATAAGCCCCGCCCACCCGCCCTATCTCAATTGTGATGATTTTTTTTATGCATCGTAAATACTGAAAAATACTTATTTCTTTACAAGAAATTAAAACCATGTTTTTGAGTATTGTGTTCTTCAAAAAATACTATGTATATTAAGAAAAAAAGGGCAAAATATAAACCCCGCCCACCCACCCCATCTCAATTGTGATGATTTTTTTTATTGTTAGAACCTTAAAACACTTTTAAAATAGTAAATTTTTGTAAGGCAATATGGATTTTGCAATTAGGATCCGCCTCTCGGGTTACGACAAATAAAAAAAATCATCCGAATTGAGATAGGGTGGGTGGGCGGGGCCTATATTTTGCTTTTTGTTTTCTTAATATACATAGCCATCTTTTCACAACAAGAAACTTAAAAATAGGTAAAACGGAAAATTTTTGCATGGAAATGTGGTTTAAAATTTATTTCTAGTTGGAGATGCATTTCTTTGCTTTTTATATTCTGGGCTAAATCGTGGCAGCTTTTTCACAAATATTTTTCGTCGAGATAAAATTATTAAAAGTTTTTGATTTGAAAATAGTTTTGGGTTTATAACTGCCCGCCTTCCGCAAAACAAGAAGTAACCACACACATGTATTGGAGTTATTAAAGTACTTAACGTTGCGTAAAATAAATCCCAAGGTCTTATATAGATATACTCATGAAACAATAGCCTCAACATGATATCTATCTAAATGATATTTTGGAGTCGAAAGTCACACCAAGGGGTAATTCGCTGTAGTACCTGCTAAGATAAAACTGATTTTGGCAAATGAGATATCCCCTAAGAAAAGAGAGATTAATTTCGAATCCGCCCACCCACCCCGTCTCAATTGAGATGCTTGTTTTTATTCTTACAAACTTAAAACACGTTTAAAATAATAACGATTGTGCAATTAAATTCCGCTCGTTTGGCTACCGATGATAAAAAAAAATTATCACGATTGAGATAAGGCGGGTGGGCGGTGCTTTTTTTCCGTGAAAAGATGACTAAGGATACTAAGAAAGTTAGTATACTTAGTCATCTTTTCACGGAAAAAATTTAAAACAGATGACTACGTATATTACGAAAGAATGGCATAATATAAGCCCCGCCCACCCGCCCTGTCTAAATTGTGATGATTTTTTTTTATGCATCGCAAATACTGAAAAATACTTATTTCTTAACAAGAAATTAAAACCATGTTTTTGAGTATTGTGTTCTTCAAACAATACTGAGTATAGTAAGAAAAAAGGGCAAAATATAAACCCCGCCCACCCACCCCATCTCAATTGTGATGATTTTTTTTATTCGTAGAATCTTAAAACACTTTTAAAATAGTATATTTTTGTAAGGCAATATGACTTTTGCAATTAGGATCCGCCTCTCGGGTTACGACGAATAAAGAAAATCATCCGAATAGAGATAGGGCGGGTGGGCGGGGTTTATATTTTGCCTTTCTTTTTTCTTAATATACATCGCCGTCTTTTCTTGTAAAAAAAATGCAATTGTTTTTCATTAAAAACGAAAAAATATTAATGAAGTCTGTTAAATAATACGTAGTAATTGGTCTTGGACGTTAAAAAATCATCTTATTGGAATTAGAATAGCAAAGGTTGTGGACAGCAGGATTGAGGAAGTCGGAGAGTTGCGTTTAAAATTCTGCACCCGACACAGACCTTTATGTTCGCCTAGCACAAGAGCTACTTCTGTTACAACGGTTTGAGCAGTAGGCGTTCGCTACTCGTTTTATTTTCTAGTTGGGTCGAGAAAGTGGCGCTCGCAGACTTGTTAAACACTTCCCTAACGACTGCGCTTTCGTTCGATACTATTATAGCATGAATTAAAACCATAATGGTCACTGCGAAATGTAGATTTTCGATAACTACAAGAACTCAAATTCCGTGACTCACCGGACATGTAGTGGAGCAGCAGCGCGCAGATCGGGTAGATCGTCGGGCTGTAGACGATGTCCGGGCAGGCGTATCCCAGAACCGAGACCACCCTGTCGGCCACGCTCCTGCCCTTGTGGGTCAGGTAGTACAGCTGGCAGTGGGACGGTTCGACGAACGGCGGCAAGCTGATGGGTTTGTCCGACAATTCCGTACTACCGAAGACCTGGTTAACCATGTCCCAGTAGAAACCGTCCGACATGCTGTTGGACTTGGTCTGGTGCTGCATGCAGAGAAGGGACCACAACTGGCCCCGAATGGGGCTGTCAACGGGCCAGGCGTTGTTCCGGAGTAGGTGCTTGGCATCCTGCTTTCTGCCCTGCTGGAGTAAGGACGTCACATCGCCGATGGTCTTCAGTGGTTTGGAAGAAGGGCTGGGCGGGACGACCGTGATCCCGGTCGAGTCTACCAACGATGTGTAAGAGTTCGATTGTTCTTGTTCGACAGCCGCTTCTTCCAGCACCGAAGGCATTATTTGCATTCGTTTACGTTTTATTACCAGTTGCAGCCCCTCCGATAGAGCAGGCCGCTATGTGAGGTCCTGGAGCATTGTCACGTCTGGAAACAAAAACATTTCTTCAATGAAAAAAAGTAAAAAGTGAATATATCTAGATTTTTATGTAGGTATAATACCTTATATCGAGTTTTGAAAGAGACTGTTTTTAATTAAGAAGGTAGAACACTCAAACAAAAGCAAAACAGAGATCAATACAAGCACTAGAAGTTGTCGAAAGCGACTGCTTACAACGAGAAAATTCTTATTTCTCCCCTAATCTTATCTCATCTAAAGCGACAACCGATAGCGATGGACCGTAAAAACATAAACAGGTAAGTATTAACAGGTAGATTTGTAAGAATTTCATTCATATTTTTGCAGAACGTGAGTCACCCAGTCGTTAAAGCTATTTAGTAGATATTGTTATCTCATACCTTGGGGGATTTCACGAAACTAATTGAGGTCCCTTCTCAGAACATAATAATAAAAGCCGAAGAAGAGCATCTGATGGCAATGACATAGACACTTGGTTTTCTGCAGGGTTGCTATAAATTATTTAAAAAGTCACGGTCTTAATCGCGCCATAATTTTACCTACAGGTAAATTAAAGAATAAAATAAAAGTGTTCAAGCTCTTGAAACCTCTTCAGTGACATTGATTAGACTTATTTTAGACTTGCCTAAAAATTAAAGGTTATAATAAAAAAACGAAAAATAAAATTTTATCATTTTTTGAACAAGCTAAATTTGTTGGATTATATATACTCCAGGGGCGCGGGAGGTTCTGTTTAATACCTTATGCCAATTGTTCGTATTTAGTATTATTTGTTCGTTTCGGATTTTTATTATTTTTTCTCAAAATCTCATGACATTTGATCTTTCAGTTTTGTATTTAACAAATTTCTCTGTTTTCTCGGCATTGCTGACAATTTTCATAAATTTTTCACGAATTTTTAAATTTGAAAAGTTTTTATTACCAACTTTTTTGAATTTTTGAACAGAAAATATGTTTTTAGTTATTTTATGTCATATTTTATCAATTATTTTCAATTTGACAGCTCTTATTAAAAAAATAAAAACATTGAAAATGTAAATAGCCGTAATCTCCTGATAATAATTTTAGAATGGTCCAATGAAATATGGCAATTTTAGGATTATTTATTTAGAAAAATTTACTAAATGTTTCTAAAATCTTGTTTCAGGATCTGAATTTGTTGTGGATTTTCAGACAACTTTTAAAACTCGCCCCTTATGAAAATTTCTCGATTTTTTTAGCATCTTCGACAACTACCTAAAAAGATTTTTATTTAGATTTCCATTTTGAGAAGTGACTTTCGGCCTCATTTTTTCGAAAAATTTTTAGCTTTTTTCCACAATCGTCCAAACTAAATTTGTCAATTTTTTAAATAAAAAAAAAATGAATTACAAACCGAATATTTCTAAATCTTGGTCGGAAATCATAAACACGCTATATTTTTCAAATCAATAAGCCAAGATCTATATCTCAGAATTTTTTGTGGATTTTAGGCGAATTTTTCAAAAGCTCATTTTTTACGGAAATTTCGACTTTTTTTCGACCACCTTCAAAAATTACCCAAAGAGGTTTTTGCTGATTTCGGCCTACAAAAGTACCTTTCGTTCTAATTTCTTCCACCACTCTACCATTCTTCCAGAAACGCCCAAGGAAATATGTGAAATTTTAGGATTTAGAAAAAAAATTAATTTCAAACCGAAAGTTCTTCCTTCGGGAACTTAAACACGCTACATTTTTTTGTGGATTTTTTGACAGCTTTTCCTAAAGCTCTAGTTTTTATAAAAATTTTTCCTAAAGATCTTTTTGTAGATTTCGCCCTCCAAAATTTACTTGCGGCCTTATTTCTTTGAAAACTCTACTATTTCTCCAGAACCGCCCAATAAAATAGGACAATTTTTGGAATTCTTAAGAAAAAAACTAATTTTCAAACTAAAATCTTGGTCCAAGATCATAAACACTGTAAATTTTTCGAATCGGTACGTCGAAAATTATATTCCAAAATTGTTGAATTTTTTGGCAATTTTTTCAAAAACGCAAGTTTTACTATTTCTGCTTATGCAACAAATTTCGACTAATTTCGTTCAGCTCCGAAAAACCCCAAATAGCTTTTTGGTAAATTTCCATATTTAAAAGTTACTTTCTAAGAAAACTACTACCAATTTTCCAGAATCCAAAAAAAATTGAATAATTCAATAGGCGATTCTGCAAAAATGGTAGGATTTATGGAAGAAATGGGTTTGAAACTAACGTCTGGAAGTCAAACTCTATAAGAAAAAGTTGAATTTCAAAAACTGTCGAAAATCGAAAATTTTGATTCTGAAAAAATTGCCCAAAAAATTAATTTTAGGATATAAATGTCATCGTGCTGATTTGAAAAAGACAAGTTATTTATGCCCCCGGCACAACATTTAAAAATATTTGGTTTGTAAATAAGTTTTTTTCAAATCCAAAAATTGAAATATTTCAGTGGGCAATTCTGGAAAATTGGAAGGAATTATTAAAGAAATGATACCGAAATAACTTATTAAGGTCGAAATCTATAAGAAAATATCTTTAATTAAATCTCGAAAATTTGATGAAATTTTTCAAAAAAATTTCGGCAAATTTTCTATTTTTCACTTACGCTATTGAAAAAGTTGCCAAAAAAATGCAAAAAAAATCTGGGAAATAGATTTCGTCATGTTGATTACAAAAATAACGTGTTTATGTCGGTGCCAAGATTTAAAAATATTAGATTTTGAAAATAAAGTTTTTTTTTAAACCAAAAATTTAAATATATATTTCAGTAGGATAAGACTGAATTTTGCAAATGACATATCCGCTAAGAAAAGAGAGGGTGGGTGGGCGGGGCTAGTACCTGCTAAAATAAGACCGATTTTGGCAAATGAGATACCTTGTAAGAAAAGAGAGGGTGGGTGGGTGGGCGGAGCTACTAACAGCTAAAATAAAACTGATTTTAACAGGTACTAGCGCCGCCCACCCGCCCTCTCTTCTCTTCAAAGGTACCTCATTTGCCAAAATCAGTCTTATCTTGGCAGCTACTGAAAAAATGGAAGGAGCTATTGAAGAAATGAGGCCGAAACTAACTTCTTGAGGCCGAAATCTATAAAAAAATGCCTTTAATTAAATCTTGCAAATTGGCCAAAATTTTTTTGAAAAATTGTGCTATTGAAAAAGTAGCCAAAAAAAAGTGCAAAATAAAAACTGGGAAATGGATTTCGTCGTGCTGATTCCAAAAATAGCGTGTTTATGGAGGTGCAAGATTTTAAAATATTAGTTTTTTTTCTCAAAAAATTGCAATATTTCAGTTAGAAATTCGGGGAAAATGGTAGGGGCTACTTGAGAAATGAAGCCAAAACTAGCTTCTGGAGGTCGAAATCCGTAAGAAAATGTTTTTAGTTAAATTTGGAACATTTTAGTTAAATCTCGACAATGGTCGAAAATTGGCCGAAATTTCTTTGAAAAATTTTCAAAAAAACTCGCAAAAAGCGTGTTTATGCTCCAAGTGGAAGATTTAAAAAGATTCTGTTTGCATTTTTTTTTTTTAATCCAAAAATTTCAATATTTCATTGAGCGATTTTGGAGAACTAGAAAACCAAGTCCAAAATTAACTTCTAGAGGTCAAGTTTTATAAGAAAATTTCGTTAAATTTCGGAAATTGTCAAAAATTAGCCGAAATTTCATTGAACAATTGTGCTGTTGAAAAAGTTTCCAAAAAAATGCAAAAAAATCTAATTCGATTTTTTTTTAATCCAAAAAATTGCAATATTTCAGTGGGCGATTCCGGAGAAATAAAATAAAACTAACCAAGCTTAAACGAACTTCCAGAGATCAAATTTTATAAAAAAAATGTATTTTGTTAAATTTTGGAAAATTGGCCAAAAATTGACTGAAATTTAATTGAAAAATTGTGCTGCTGAAAAAGTTGCAAAAAAGTCGCTTAAAAATTGTGGGAACTAGATTTCGTCGTGCTGATCCAAAAAAATAGAAATTTGTTTATGCTCCCAGTGGAAGATTCAAAAATAAAAAAAAATTAATGCAAAGAATGCAATATTTCAGTGAGCGAATCTGGAGAAATTGAAGAAAAGTAACTAAGGATAAAACTAACTTCCAGAGATCGAATTTCATAAGAAAATGTGTTTCGATAAATTTCGAAAATTGTCAAAAATTGTCCGAAATTTCATTGAAAAATTATGCTGTTGAAAAAGGTGCCAAAAAAAATGAAAAAAATTCTGGGAAATAGATTTCGTCCAAAAAGAGCATGTTTATGCCCCCGGTGCAAGCTCTAAAAATATGTTTGAATTTTTTTTTTTAATCCAAATTTAATATATTTCCAATATTTCACTGGGCGCTTCTGGAGAAATAGAACAAAACTAACCAAGTCCAAAACTAACTTCCAGAGATCGAATTCTATAAGAAAATGTCTTTCGTTAAATTCCGAAAATTGTCAAAAATTGGACGAAATTTCATTGAAAAATTGTGTTTTTGAAAAAGTTGCCAAAAAAAAATGCAAAAAAATCTGGGCGATAGATTTCGTCCTGCTGATTCCAAAAATAGCGTATTTGTGCTTCCGGTGCAAGGTTTAAAAATATTAGGTTTGAAAATAAAGTTATTTTTAAATCCAAAAACTGCAATGTTTCAGTTGGCGATTCTGGAGAAATAGAAGAAAACCAAGTCCAAAATTAACGTATACATCGAATTTTATAAGAAAATGTCTTGCGTTAAATTTCGAAAATTGTCAAAAATTGGCCGAAATTTGATTGAAAAATTGTGCTGTTGAAAAAGTTGCCAAAAAAATGCAAAAAATTCTAGGAAATAAAATTCATCGTGTTGGTTCCAAAACCAACGTGTTTATACTCCCGGTGCAAAATTTAACAATTTTTTGCTTATAATTATATTTTTTTTAGTCCAAAAAATTGCAATATTTCAGTGAGCGATCCTGGAGAAATAGAAGAAAACCAAGTCCAAAACTAACTTCCAGAGATCGAATTCTATAAGAAAATGTCTTTCGTTAAATTCCGAAAATTGT